ATTATGTGGTGGCACACTAGGCATTCACCGCCGCAACAGCGATGTTTTTATCAACGGTCCCTTCACCTCCACTGCCGGCAGCTCGGATGGCGCAACGGATAACACGATGGACTCTGGATTGGACGACGATACGGCACTTTGTGGATCGAATCCTGCTCGCGTAGATTAGTTTTGCATTTTCCAGTTTCGCGTTCCTGTGTCTCTGGCAGTGGAAATAAGCCATGTACATGCCAGTTTAAGGCATATTCTTTATTCGACACGTTGCAAACCAGCGCGGTTGTGCGGAAAAGCCTGTTTCCGGGAATGTTCTAGTCTCATTGTGTACCATTTCCCTTCATTGATGGACAAATCTAACAAGCTGTGGTAAAGTTCAACAAAACATGTGAAGCATATGCATCTACTGCACCAACTACACCTAACAAACGCCAGAGAAGAACAATTACTGTCTTCTTGACAAGGGACGACAACATCTCCTTCGTTGAATCCGAAGTCGGTCGGAGTTGAAAACGGTCCAGGATGCTCTTCGACATACCCAGCGGCCACCCAGGCGTACGCAATACATGAACGAAATCTGGGGGCGCAAAACTGCCGGTACGTCTGGCTGATGACCTACACGGAAAGATTGTTGGCAACTTGTTAACATACCCAAGAAAGGATCTCACCTTCAAAATATTGTCCCTGCTATACGCGAAATCCGTCTGATGGTGTATCACGTGATCGTGAATGCGTCGGATGTATCGCTTAAACAAGCGGAAAAAGTAGACGTCGAGAGGCTGACAGAGGGAAGTCGCCCCTGCAGGGATGGTCATCAAACGGAGCTCTTTGCCTGGAGGTACTTCCGAAAGTACGTTAGCGTGGTCGGTGAACCCAGCCCAACTATCCACAAGGAGAACAGTCAGTGGAGGTGAATTTGACCCTACCACACACTCCTTGACGAAAGTCGGGACCTGGGACTTTGTCATGATGTGCGTCTTCCCAGCCATCACCAGCAGGTTGGGTGCCTGCCAATGTCCGCACTGTGGAAAGACACCTCCCCTTTCGGGAAGAATGACAAGAAGCTTGTCCCCAAGCCGCCCATCGGCATACATGACAGGCATCGCGGTGAATGAGTGTGTTAGTGATGACACAGACTGAACCGCTCTCACCACCTGTTTAGATCCGACCGGAGCTAATGTTCTGAAAGTTGCCACTTGCGGTAAAGATGTTGACTTGAAAAGTGTTTTTTGTAAACCATACCTCTTTGAGGCTATCTCCTTGTTTATACCAGTCTGATCTGCGTTGGCAAATGCAGACAAGGGGTACTTCCTCATTTCCTCCCTGACTCTCTTGACGAAAACATCGGCGTCCGCTTCTACATCATCTTTAGAACGTAAGGTACCTGTGGTGACAAATCGCGTCACCTTTCTCGAACGTAAGCCACACTCGCGCACGAATTTGGCTATCCATGACTTTGACGCTTTGAAGTCATCAACAAGATGATGCTCCGAGTTTAACCGAACTGCCGTATGCCGAATGATAGCATAGGACAAAGGGAGCCCTAGAATGGCAATGCCAGCTGGTACCAAACATGATTTCATGACCTCTCAGAAAACCTCAAACATTTCAAGCTATACCTTGTTCAGTAGCTTCCAGCACGCTCTCACGAACAAGGGCAGACAGCCGTTTGAAGCTGTTTATTCTCGATTCTTCAATGACGCTGAATACGACAAATGGGAGTTTGTAACGGTATGCCATCCAAAGAAGTTTCAAGAATACCCTTCTTTTCGATTTCTCGAAGTATATTTATATGATGTTCCCGTTTTATCCATCGAAAGCGGTTCATCATGGCTGACAAAGGTCGGCTCCCTTTGTCCGTCTCACGGTAGAATTCAATGGCACGCTTGATCTGCGATATACGGAGGGTAATACTATAAGCCTATGGTGCAGCTAACAACTAACCATATCCTCTGGAATAGGTTTTCCGTCGAAGAGGACGCACTTCTGATCAGGGAGGACATCACTGCAACGGCCGTTATCGTCATCGTCATGAGGGGTCCAGTCGACCTCTGATTCTTCGTCGAAATGCACCTATGAACTGCCGTAATGGAAACGCTCAAAAATTCGTGATGCCTGCTATGTGACGTATATGTCCATATATTACGTTTGAACCTAACCTGGAGAGATTCCTCTTCCTCCTCACACTCGATGTCGCCATTTGCTGCGCTCTGGAGAATGCCTTTGAAGGCGTCGGCGATCGCGATTTCCTTCCTCGTTGGAGGTGAAAAATCCGGAGTAAAGGACGACAGAAGACGTCCGATCACTCTAGCAGGCGAGAAAGACATATTCGGATGGAGTAATATTAGGATGGAGTAGGTTTGCATCATCGCTTATATTGATGTGATCAACAGTTCCAGTAGATCAAAAAGATCTCCAGCATCCTGGACGGACGACATCAACGAAGGAGATGTTGTCGTCCCTTGTCAAGAAGACAGCAATTGTTCTTCTCTGGCTTTTGTTAGGTGTAGTTGGTGCAGTAGATGCATATGCTTCACATGTTTTGTTGAACTTTACCACAGCTGTGAGATTTGTCCATCAATGAAGGGAAATGGTACACAATGAGACTAGAACATTCCCGGAAACAGGCTTTTCCGCACAACCGCGCTGGTTTGCAACGTGTCGAATAAAGAATATGCCTTAAACTGGCATGTACATGGCTTATTTCCACTGCCAGAGACACAGGAACGCGAAACTGGAAAATGCAAAACTATCTACGCGAGCAGGATTCGATCCACAAGTGCCGTACCGTCG